AGTCGTTCTAGCGAGTTCTGCACTTCCAAGTTCCGGCATCCACCAGGTTCTTATGAACTTGCGAACCTGCTGACAGCCATGACCGCCACGCCAACAACGCCAGAAGTTTTGCTGATCGAATCTTGAACCTACTTAGCCGTGAACAGGCGCAAAGCTTACGTGAGCCCCATCTAATTTCCTGTACCGAGTCTGTTCCAGTGCAGGCAGAGCCCGAAGTGGTCGAGGAGGCCGCGGGGGGCATCATGAAAAGTCAGTTTGCGATTCGGAGCAAGACGATCCGCACATGCTCTTCTTCAAGAGCTTGTTGGCTTCCCTGACACGAACAAGCAGGGTGGTAGTGTTTGAAAGCGATACCAGTGTTCTTCGAGCAACCCGCTCTGCTGAACCACAGGCCTTTTGTTTAGTTCGTGCCTCCAGTCCAAGTAAAGCAGCAAAGCAGTTGCACTGTTGCTGCGCGTAGCTTGCTGAGGGCACTTGTGCTACATCTTTGAGCTTTCTTGTTTGCTTCCCAGGTCGAGATGCGCCGTGAAGTTCATGGTTGTTCAATGCGAAGCCCGAAATGCCACAGGTAGCATCGACAGATGACCACATCCCAATAACAAGCAGAGCAAAGACATGCAAAGATGCAATGACATCCACACACGCAACAACGCAAAGAAAACAACACAGGCACAACAAGGATGGGTAAAGGTTAGGTATACACGCAGCCACACCACCAGGTGGCATCTGTGCCGGAGCCGGCGACGATGGCTCAGGTGCACACGGTTTGTCTTTTTTGGTTTGTCTTCGGGGTAATTGTCCCAAAATACGCAGCTCGCGATCTTTACATCCCAAGGCCGTAGGGTTTAGGGTTTAGATTTTGTTTGATCACAGTTTCGGTTTTATTCTGGGCTTAAATCTTAGACCTTAACCTGTAGGAGACCCTTTAGCTTCTTAAACCTGTGAATCCAAACGAGCCCGGGGTTGAAACCTTAAACCTCCAAAGACTTAAACCTTCCAAAACCGTTCTAGGAGCCTTCAGCATCAAACTCAATGTATCCCAGAGAACCCAATACCCCTCAATTAAGGAACATGCCTTCAACTATAGGGGCCTCGATATTATGATTTAAGGTATATTCCTTAATTAAGGTACCCTATGCATCAACCACAGAGAAAATCGGGATCCACATGGTAATTTCCAGCGAACTGAAACCTATTGGTATTTTCCGGCGAAACCACATGCCTGAATGTGCATCAAAAAATCCAGCGAAGAACCCAGCGGAAAGCATTACAAAAACCCAGCGAACAGGGTTACAAAAACCCAGCGAACAGGGGTATAAAAACCCAGCGAAACAGGAGGACACACAGTAAGAAGATTTCTCACACGGTCGAGCTAGTCCTCATGCTGGAAGGTCATCAGGAAATGCATGTAAAATCGCATCTTGTCTGCGACTTTCAACGACAGTGCCGGGGCTCGTGTGCCGAATGCACATGATGCAGCAACTGATGCCACAGAGCCCACAAAATCCTCATTCTTGTAAGTCCATGACTTTCGCGGGTTTAAAA